CCCATTGGATAACCCAAGAACACACACTGCTTGGCTCTAGGGAAGAATTTGGTCCTGTTATGTCCTAAAGTGCTAGCATAGCACAGACACCCAAAAACCTTTAGGTCTGATAGGTCTGGAGGATGTCCATATAGCACTTCATAAGGTGTTTTATTGGCAATAGCAACAGTAGGCAGCCTATTGATGAGAAAAACAGCATGTTGAATAAAGTCTGACCAGAATTTAAGAGGAAGTCCAGACTGAAACTTTAAGGCCCTAGCTACATTTAGGATATGTTGATGTTTCCTTTCAACTCGAGCATTTTGTTGGGGAGTTTCAACACAAGACATTTGGTGAATGATCCCATGTTGAGAATAAAACTCAGGCATATGGAACTCTGCACCCTGATCTGATCTAACAATTTTCACTTTCTTCTCAAACTGTGTTTGGATCATGACACAAAAATCTTGCAACAGCTTTCTAACTTCACTCTTAAATTTCATCAAATAAGCCCAGACACACCTAGACTTGTCATCTACAATGGTAAGAAAGTATTGGAAACCATTGTAACTGGAAACAGCAAGGGGACCCCATATATCAACATGAATGAGTTCAAACACACTCTTTGCCACAAACTGGCTTGAAGGAAAAGGAAGGCGTTTCTGTTTGGAAAGGGGACAAACTCCACAATGACTAACAGAATCAAAATCTATACTAGGTACAGTTTTCTTCAATTCCTTAGTCCTATGTTCAGAAGGATGCCCAAGTCGCCAATGCCATAAATCAAAAGACTGTGGTGTAAGGTTGTGAGTCTTGAGGGAATTAACATGAGTGGAGTGATCTTCTGTGGTATGAGGTGTGAGTTGGTAAAGGCCTTTGGTCTCATGGGCAAAACCAATCATCTTCCTGGTTAATAGGTCCTGGATATGACAAATGGTTGATTTAAAAGTGAGTGAGATAGGTAAAGACTGAGTGAGTTTACTAACTGAGATGAGATTAAAGGAAAAGGTTGGGACAAACAAAACACCATGAATAACAAGACTTGGTGTTAATCTGACACTACCAGAATGTGTAGCAGGTGTCTTTGTCCCATTAGGAAGGGTAATAAACACATTCTGAATAGGTTTATATCTAGTAAAACTAGACAGTGAGCAAGAAACATGATCTGTTGCACCAGTATCTAGGAACCACACGTTAATCAATTCCAATGGATGCTGCTGGTAACATGAAGAAAGAGTAAATTTACCTGCAAAATTTGGATTCACAGACATGTGCCTGCTCACAGAGTTAACCATTGGTTGCTGTGGCTGATGAGTTCCAGCTAGAGCTGTTCCAGGTGATCCAGGTGAGGTGGGAGAGCTGGGTGATCCAAACTGAGTGAGGATTCTCTGGAGTCTGTCAATGTCATCATTTGACAGCCTGATGCTAGTAAAACCATCAACTGACTCAGATGAAACTCTTGTTTCTGGTTTATGAAGGATTCCCCCTCCCAGAACTTCAGCCCCCTGTATCTGTCCTGCAAATCCAGAAGAAGAACCAGTCTCCTTGTTCTTTCTTTTCAACTTGTAGCAATCTGAGATAACGTGGTTATCTTTCTTGCAGTATCTGCAGAACAGTGTGCCCTGAGCTCCCTTAGCATTCTCCTTTCCTTTAGCCTGATTGTTTGCTAAGAGAGCCACAGAATCAACTTGGGACTCCTGACCTGGCTTAGAGACTTGTCTTTCATGCTGGATTGCATAATGAAATGATGTCTCCATAGTTGGTAAGGGAACCATCATCAGCAAATTAGTCTTAACCCCTCCATATGTCTCATTCAAACCAGTAATGAATCGAGTCACAAACTCATTCTCTCTGTATTTCCTCACTGTGGCCTCAGTGATACAAGGTACATTCCTATCCCTATGTTCTCCTCCACATTCACAACTAGGGATTGGCAAAAATTGAACTAATTCTTCCCAAAAACCCTTCAATTCAGAGTAGAATTGGTTCACTGACTTGTTACCTTGTTTAAGGGTGTACACAGCTGTCTGGAGGTCACTGATTCGAATGTTGTCTGCTTGACCATAGCGCTGTCTCAAATCATCCCAAAGAAGCTTGGCGTTGTCTTGAGAGGAGACACTGTTCACCAAGCTTGGGTCAAGAGACCCTAAAATCAGAAAGTAGACAGCTGTATTGCTCTGCTCCCAGGCTTGATAACTTGCATCTGTTGGATCTGGAACAGGAATAGACCCAGTGATGAAACCCAGTTTGTTCTTGCTCTTCAGAGCAACTCGAACGGTTCTGCTCCACAGGTTGTAGTTTGCAGTACCTGTGAGCTTGATTGGGAAGCTCAAAGATTCATTAGGGTTGATGTAAAAGGGGTTGGTGACTGTGGTAAGAGGAGTAGTAGTGGCAATGGTTGAACTGGTACTGGAAATGGAAGCTGCTTCAGTAGCCATGGCAAAAGAGGAAAATGCAATGACAAAGAGTGGGTAGAAGGAAGAATGCGGGTATGGCGGAAAGCAAAACCCTAGTTCTGAGAACCAGGCTCTGATACCATATGAAAAAAACAATAAGGTATTGTGAAAGAACCCGCAAAGGGATCTTTGGTGGCTCTAGGCCTTTTATTCATCCATCAACTTCTCCAAGAAGGAGTCACTGCTGTACATAAGTTACCAAAGGGTAACGGTAACAAACGAACAAAACCTATCTACCAATAAGAAAAGGACAGTTGTAATATGTACAGTAAAAACGGAACTCTCCCTAACACAAACTAAAACGACAGCGCTCTACTCGGCTCTTCTATTGCTTCCGAGGGAAACGTCATCGTATAGAAATCCATAGTGTCTTAGGAGATCAACCAGTTTTCCCTTCGTGTAACCTGCAACTGCATATCCAATACAGGTTGCTAATTTCATGAATGTACTTCTGTTCACCGTTTTACAAATTGCCAGATGTCATGCCATGCTAGGCAAGCACAGAAAAAACTCCAGTTTTGACAATAAGGCTAGCATTAACTGTTTGCATATGCCTTGTTTCCATTCTCGTGTTTGTCTTTCCCTGTGCATGTTACCTTCCTTTCTTTGCCAAACTGTTGTTTCTTTCTCAAATTAGCCTCATAAGTGGCTCTATTCACCTTGTATAATATAACACCTGGCAAAGCAAGGCGTTAAAGCAGGATCTGCCTCCCTTTTTGGCTGTGTTCAAAGTTGACACAATATTCTGAGAAGGCAAAAATAAGATCCCAAAACCTTCTGCAAGTCTTTTTGACCAGGTTTTTCCTTGGTATGCAGCGAAACTTAAACAAATTGCTTCATTTGTGTAGTGTGAGATGGAAACAAAGCTCACAGAAACCAGACTGAAACACAGTCAATAGTATTATGCTCTGCCTTTAATGAACATAATTGCAAAAAGAAACCAAGTCCTCACTGTAGAGGTCTTTGTACCATTTTGCAGCAACCATAAGTTGCCTTGAGTTATGAAGGATGCTCTTTGCTCTCTCCCAGGTGGCTTGCTTTCACTTTGTCTAGACCAGGGAAATCAAGTCCAATAAAATGGGTAAAAAAGAATTTAACTTGCTGAAAGTCCAGTTATCGAAGTTACTACTATTTTAGCAGCAAAACAGCTATTATGTTCAAAAGAAAAAAGAAGCGACAGGCTGACAGCTATGCAGAAGGTATCTTTGTTAGTTCATAATTAAGAATTCTGTATCGTCTAATCCATGCAGTTGATGATATTTAAGACCTTGGATGCATGAGAATTGAGTAAGGCTGATTGATGAAGTGGAAATTACAAAAGCATGGCAACCTAAGGGGAGGAATTGACCCAGCTAAACCTAGCTTTAGCTTGTGGTCCTTCTGATAATTATTGCAGTCTTAAAATCCATTTTCTTAGGAGCTACAGCTCTGGTAGTCTGTGTCACATATCAAGGCTCTTGGTGTGGACATAGCAGCTGATCCTTATCTTATGAGAAGAAGATAAGTCACTTTCCACATAATTCAGCTATTATGGGTTTTTTGTGGACAGATCCCAAATTCTGATGTTATGATTGACTAAAACCACCATACCCATGAATCACAAATTCAGTGGTGTTTCACTTTCACATCAAAACATATGAAGTCAGCTTCCCCAGCTCTGCAATTCTCTGTAATTGTGAGCAGATGCATCAGTCAATGACATACCCAGATTTAGAAATCCCCCAATGCTTGCTAAAACTAACCTAAAACAGCTATCAGATGCAAACCCATCACAGAAATTGGCAGTTTACTAGATTTATACATGCATCTAAGGATATACCCCTATCCTAGCTTCATATATAAATGCATCTAAACTTGTGAAGGAGAGCCATTCATTGAAGAAAGGAATCAAGTAAATTGTTGGTGGTCCTAAGTTAAAAGGCTAGTGCTGGTGGTGGGAAGGGTGAAACAGCACTATATATTAAGCTGGAAAAAGGGTTTCCTAAAATGGTCACAATATTGGTGGGCAATGGTGTCATCATGTAGGATGTGGTCCTGTCCTAAAACCCCATTAGGGTACATGTGGAATCCAGAGTTGGCTCTGTTTCTGTGTGATAGCAATTTCTCATGGGTTTTGGGAGAGATTTTGGTTGGAATTGAGCTGTGGGCGGAAAGGAATGGAATGGTGATATAGGAACAAAAAAAAGAGTAAGAAACCACTGGCAAAGTCATCCTTGTATCTGCAACTGTGCATGGTAAAGAAAATGAATGAATCTTTGGCTGGAGAAACCACAAAATCTTCCCATTTTTCAGAAATTTGGAAGTGTAATCAAAAGCATATAGTAAAGTGGGTTGAGTCCACTTTCCATAGTTTAGGCCTTTAGGACCGAGCAAGGCCATTGTGGTGTTTGTTTTATGACTCTTGCCCTTCTTTTTTAAGTTATGGAATTCATAATGAGAATGCAGCAAAGCAAAGGATATGATGAAGCGTGTGGGAGGGTCTACTGAGAACAACTAACTCTATATGGTGTGTAGTTCACTAGTACTAAGGGGATTACTGAATACTTTGGAGGCATGGTAACAGGCCAAGTCACCTGCTGCTTATTGCTGCTGTCTTTTAGCCTCCATCACTCAAAAACCTCAGGCTCATGCAGCTGATTAATAATGACAAATAATTGAAACCCTCATTTTAAAAAACCATTGGCCTTCACAAAGTTCACTACTTTTTCTCATGCCCATAAGAAAGTAGCCTGCTTTTCATTGCCATAACAACATAAGGAAAGTTGGTACTATCCATCTATCTTACATACATTCATACATACATCTTACTTGTACAAGGACTATTTTAATTGTTAAGACATGTGAAACCAGATTTGTTCAAATGCCCTGACTATAACATCATGGTACTTGGTCGAATTGAGGGAGAGGTAACAAGCAAGAAGATCCTCGAGCTCCCTTGAACCCCTGATTCCATTCTCCACTATCATTTCCACCATGGATTCCATGAAGTCTCTCTCCGGATCAACCGACTTCTTCACCACTGCAAAGCTCTCTCCAATCCTGTTCCCTGCTGATGCTGCTGATAAACATGATGTGACAGCAGTACTCTTCCTACTACCCTGAACTTTCCTGCTTGCAAGCCTCCTCGGCGAGTTGGCCTTCAGCCTTATCCCCGTGGCAGAGTACTTCTTATTCGATGTGGATTTTCGCGGAGAAGGACTAGACTTGGTCCTTTTCTTTTGATCAGAAACAGACCTTTGTGCTTTCACATGATCCATTCTAGATGGCTTTGTAACAATGGGAGGAAGCTTCTCCAGCTCATGAATATCAACCTTGTTGATGTTGTTCCTTTCCAAGGAATGCCCATTCACATCGATGATGATGTCAGCCGTGGAGGAGCTGAGCTTACATGAGTGACATGATGTAGACCATGCAGCTGAAACCACCTGATCGTCAAATGACCTAGGAGGTCGGGCGAAAGACGAGGCGAGATCATCATCTTCATCGTCGGATTCGGTTAGAATAGAGCCACAGAAGTCAGGGGAAGACTCAAATGGAGAGGTGGAGTAGCCAGGGGAATGGGGCAGAGTGGGGTTATCATTCTGATCACGACATTTGCTGCAAACTGATGATGAAGAAGAGGAGGAGAGCAGCTTAGGAGAAGGCTTGTAGACTGCCTTCCTCCTCCTGCTGCTTCTCCTAGGTGGATCAGGAAACTGAGTGTCTGATGCCTTCTGGTTCACAGGTGAATTGTACAGCTTGTGATGCTGATAATGATGATGGTTGTTGGTAGCTCTGCCCGGTTTCCCTGACAAGTAGGAGGAGTACCTTGGGTGCTGTGGAGCCCTTGTGGCTGTGGCTGCTGCTGCTACTGTGGAATTAGGGGGCCTTTTCTTCTTGTGATTGGAGGAATGGTGTGTGGTTGTGGGGATGGATTTGCTCATGTCTTTGAGCTTGTAAAACCATGCATTTGGGATCATGTCTGACAATCTAAACCTGTGTTTCAATCCCATCTCTCTCTCTTTCTCCTTGTTCTTCTTTTCTGAGTGTGGGTTCTTGGTTTTGCTGGAGTTGAAGGATAGAGAAAGTAGGTTTTGGATGATCAAAGGGGTTATAAAAAGGGGGAGGGAGGGAGCATAAATGGGACATCATCAGGCTGACATGGCTTTTGGAGAATGATGGGTGGTGGGGAGGGTGAGAGACAACAAAGGGAAGTCTATCAAAAATGGCCTTTTTTGCTTTCATCATTAACAACCAGCAAAGATTGGCTTAGTTTAGCAGATTTTTGTTGTTGGGATGTGAATAAACTCTGTGGGATTGGACGTAATGGAATCTTTAAGGTTAATAAAACATTAAAACGTCAAGGTGTCAGTAAATCAACGATGAAAATTATGAAGGCTTATCCCTTCTATGTTGGATGACTAAGGAGTGGAAGTATGACAAAATGGGGGGTGCTTTCTAAGCAATAAGGAAAAAATGAGTTTTAAAAAAAAAATATTTTTAGTGATTCTTTCATTTCTATTTTATTTTTAATTTAATTTTGAATTAAAAATATAAGGTGCTAATGACGTGACATCTATGTGGCTGCCACATTTTTGCCATGTCAACATTAGGTTGACCACCGTTTGGTCAATTGTTATCTTTAACGGTCAACGAAATCGTGCGGATACAAATGACACACAACTATCAGACATGGGACACAATTGTCATATTGAATTCTTTAGGATACAAATGGCACTAAGTTAATAGTTCGGGTTTCCTACTGGTATTAGCTCTATTTTAAATAGTACATAATCACAAAAAGCAAGCATATATTACTCTTATCTAATAAAAAAGATTCTAATTGTAAAACCCGGCTAAAGTTTTTTTTTTTATGGTAACCTGCACTCAGCTTTTATTCAATCGCAACAGAATCAACATTGTCAATTACAAGCTGATCTAACAGATTCAGCGGGGGTCTATCAAACCAAACTTCCGCTCTATTCCATCGAGTCATCGTATGGGCCATTATATGTGCCGCTTCATTAGCCTTCCTGCTCACATGCCGCAGGCTTCCGTTCTCAAACTCCCCTAACAGATTCTTTATGTTCCTGTAGACAATCCCGACTTCTGTCTCCACTTCCACCGTCCCATTCGTACTATTAACCACCGTCAAACAGTCGGATTCCACCATCGGCGCTGCAATATGGTGCTGCCTAACCAACTGTAATCCAAACTCAACGGCCAGCGCTTCCCCCATCGTCGGATCCTTGATGTCCTTCATCCTCTTAGCTGCTGCCAATACAAAGTTTCCTGCGTGGTCTCGTACAACCACACCCAAATCCACTCCTTCTGCATCCAAACCCGCATTCACGTTGACTTTCATTCCCCCATAGTGGGGCTTTGCCGCTGGACTTCCCCCGACTAAAGTTGATTCTTGTATAAGTAACTTTGTCCAGCTAAATGGCTAAATCGTCAATAAGAAAAATCTAAAATGGATCTCTTCTATAGTGTAATCACCAGCAATTGGAGATGCCACATAAAACTATCGCAACTACAACATTTTCACACTCTTCTTTACTATATTCGAGGTCAAAATTGACATTCTCTATTTGGTTTGGTTTGGTTTTGGTTTGTTTTGTTTTGTTGATCAAAGTAAGAAGAAAGAGCAATGATGATTTGTGGAATAGAGAAGGGTCCTTATGTCAGGTAAGTGGTGTTTCCTTCTTTTTAGTCCGCATGATTTCATGCTTCCCCAAATCATTATATTCCCTCTTCTCTCTAATCCTAGTGCTTAATTCTGCTAAGCGACCTCATGGAGGCATTTAGGATTTGTGTGTTTGTTTGATGACATCTAAATTTTTAAATCTTTTTCTATGAGCAAATCTGATGCAACAATATAATGCTACCAAATTATGGTCGTTACTCGATCAAATATGTTGAACAACACTAAAAGGATACCATATGTAGGAAGGATGTAAGGTGTAAGAAAGCAAAACAAGGTAACCATTGTTATAAGAACCAAACCGGATCAATGGTTGGGCCAGTAGAATCGCCAAACCAGTTACGATAGCGGTCCGGTTTATTGCTTGGACGGTTAATGGTGGATCAAACGGTTTTTCACGGTTCAACATAAAACCAAATGAACCACCACGGTTTAACTGGTCCACTGATTCACTATTTTAACCACAATATTTTTTAGAAAATACTTTAACATAAACTAAGATAGTCAAACCGTCATTATTAATTATATAACTACGTCCTCTTCTCATTTTCTAACTTTGTTGTCGACTTTCCATGGTCCACTACCGACTGGCATCGTAATTTTTACTTTGAATTGAAAAATTATGATTTTTTTTTTTTTTTGAGATGGTTGAATGATTTATTAGATATTTGGGTGATGATATGAAATTGAAATTGTTTATGGTAAATGATAACTTTATTCTTAAATTAATGTAAAACACAAGTCTTGTATGTTATATATCGTGAAAGGTACCAACGGTTTTGTAACGGTTAGCCACTGAATCTTAAATCACTAACTTTTCCGATTCAGCCTCTGGTCCGAGGGTAAAACCCACATTTTGCATAACTTTATTTTCTCGTAAATTAATAATTATCTGCTTTAGAACTGGCACCAGCACATGTTAATATCGTACTACCTTATTAGATCATAAATTTCACTAGTTATAACGATGGAACAATATCAGCTCATCACTCCTATACACAAGCTAGTAGAACTGAATGTCCTGAATACCAAGCAAACATCACCATGGAGGGAAAAGATGGATTGATGGGAAATTTAAAAGAAGTGGCTATATGTGGAGTTGTTGAAATCTATGAGAATCTTTCAATGGTCTCGTCTGCAATATCTTGGTAGCAAAATTTGACAGCCCATCACATCTTCTTCTCCACTCTCTTATAATTTACAGAATCTCAGGTCTAGGAAGGAAGGAAGGACAGCATGGGCCTTTACAGCCAGTCCACAATCACGAGCCCTTTTTTTCTGTCCTTTCCTTTCTCCCTTGTTTAATGTTCTTGTCTGTTAAAATATAGTAAAGGTTGGGAAGAGTCTCTTCTTGCTGCTGTAACTTCATACACGTCAGATACAGAGAGAAAGAGGGGGACATTGTTTAGGTTACAGGCTCGTCACCCTTAATGATTTATTGTAAATTTGTAATGTAGCAAGGCTATTAACATAGTTTCAGAAAGGGATGTCGAGTGATCTTGTCTACTGATTTGGAGCTATATATCCACTCGATAAAAATCCTGCTTTGTATGTTTCTTCTGCATATTGCTGCTATATTCCTCTGGAGGAAAGTGTTTCTCCAAATGTGTACATGGTTTGAGCGGCTAGCTTTACCCTCCCTATCTTTTTGCTATTTCAATACTAAAATGGAGAGACTCCTCACTTTACTTGTCATGAAAATTGACTTGCTAAGCGGCCCATGATAATAAAAAAACTAGTTTATTCCTGAGGGATCTGAATTCTGAAGCATCCAAATCGTGTTGCAGATACTGGAATGTTTGGAATTTGGAACAGCAAGTGCGGTAAAAAAGTTTTGATTGGAGATGCAGGGGATCGAACCCTGTACCTCCCGCATGCAAAGCGGGCGCTCTACCATTTGAGCTACATCCCCAATTTGTAAACGAATTAGACAAACTTTATTAAATTTAAATACAATTCAGTTTCAACTCTCAAGTCAAGATTGTACATTCAATCAAGGGACCAGCCCAGCACTGTTGCTGCCTGCTGGTTGTTAGGAGCTTGTGAGCTATAGAACTTAGGCTTAGGCCTGGCAATAACCCATTGCTAGCTGTAGCTCTGCCCTCTGGGTATCCTTGCTTACTATAAATCCAATTGGAGTTGTTTTGCCCTTCTAATCATATGTGTCAATAACTCAAGTTTTTGAAAAATGGTTACGTTCTCAACTAATATTATTTTATGCGTTTATATGATTTCCAATTACGCTTTTGGCATAATCCATGTCATTTTTCTTAACTCATCTCAAGTCCCATATGGCTAGAATCAAACATATTCATCTATTCGTTTTCGTATTAGATTCATTCAACAAACTCACATGATGTCACGTTTCGCAGTCGCCTTTATTAGACACACCTTTATTAGACCTAATTAGACTCATTGACTCCTGTTTATGATCTGGAATATCTTTACTCCTCTTGCCTCGTTTTTTCATGGAGTCCCACATTTCCATTCTCCTTTGCAATCTCCCAACAGACGTGAATCCCACTACTCCAAAAGCATGTTCAAAATAATTAAAACAATAAAGAACCAAGCTTAACTACCATCTAATCCACCACCCCTCTCTACATTATCACCCTCTAAGCAACCTCCCTAATCTCCTAATTCCCTCCCTCTCTCTCAATTTGGTACACCACCAAAAGTATTACATATATCCACAACCAAACACTCCGTTGCCAAAACATTATTATCAGAAAGCTCAAAATGAAAGCATTAGTTGCCTTCAGAACCAAGCTTCTCACACCATGCAGGAAATTCCTTCGAATCTTCAGGCTAAAGCTCAGAAAACCCCTCTCTATAAAGCCCCTCAAAGCCCTCCGTTCTGCTCGTCCTCATCGTCGTCGTAGCGTCACATCAGCACCACCCACTTCCTTCCTCTCGCTCTTCCGTAGTCGTCGCCATAGAAAGATGGACAGGGTCATGGAGCTCAGGAGTGCTGTGTCTGAGGCAGAACTGGGGGACAGGAGGAGAAACCTATTAACTTCTCCGGTCACCCCGGCTTACATCAAGGCCTTGAGGTTCGGAAGCCGGTTTGGGGATGAAGCGGTCGAAGATGCGTGCAGAAGCTTCGAGAACTACTTGGTGGAGATGATTGTGGAGGAAGGGAAGATGAGGGACCTGATGGATGTTGAGGACCTTCTCTATTGCTGGAAGAGCCTCAAGTGTCCTGTCTTCATTGATCTGGTCTGCACTTTCTATGGTGAGCTCTGCAAGGATTTGTTTGCTCCCGATCACAATGAGATCGAAATTCACACGACCAGTTCGTCTGGGTAGTGCCAATTCTTTCCTTCTTTTTCTCCATTTCTTCTGCATCAACTACTTGTTACTCCCTAGTCAAATCATGCTGTGTTCTCAAAGCAATTTTTTTACTGTAGTCTGTAAAACTAATTCATATCAACATTGTATTCGAATACAATACGCTCATTGGCAACTGGCGAGTACTAGTTCATATTTACATTTACAGGTCAACAAGTATATATAAGGGCGTTTCCTGGAACCTGACAACAGACTCGTTATAGAACAACTACCAGCATCTGCATCTGCTGCTGCTGTTTTCCTTCTTACGCTACCTACAATTGAAGCACTCTGAAAAAGCATCTCGTAACTAGCTCGATTATAAAGCATATAAACACATTTAATAAGAGCAGGTGAATAGCAGGCTTCACAACGTTACCCGTGTCAAAACGAGCATCTCCATTCTAGCAAGTTACAGGAGAATGAATCATTTTGGTTTCGAAAGATAAACCCGAGATTTAACCAATTTGTCCCCAATTCTGAAGCCAGGCATCACCATGAATTCAACTTTACAGTTGGACTCTGACTTCTCTTCAACAGATTCCATATAAACATCAGAGAATTCACTTCCACTGCTTACTGCAAACACCTTAGCCTGGGGATCGATCGATGTGGCAACTCCCTGTAGAACCCAAATCCACTTTGCCATTCTCACAAAGATTTGGTACAGCGGTGTTCTTGGATGCTTCCCACTGATCACCAGCATCCTATGATCCAAATTCCTAAAGAAACATATCTCCATCACCGGATGAACAACGAACAAGTACTTTTTCCCACAGAAGTTGGCGAACCCTGAGTTAGGATTCTCTATCAGAGACTCAATAGGATCATCGTACCTCATAACATCATCCACATTACATGACTTGAGCGACATAACATGGAACATTCTCCGAGAAACATATGCTTCGAATGCATACTTCTTATGCGACCTTTTGGCATAAGTCGCCCCTTTCACAACTGCATCGGCAGCCAAGTCTAGATCCCACCCTGAAGCTTTCATCAGGTTAATCATCGGCTTTGCAAAATCATGAATTGACTTACAAGCCAATCTGAAGATTTCCTCAAACATCACAGCATCCACAACCTTCCAACTCCTTTTCTCCAAGCTTCTTGCCTTCATAGTCTCAACCAACAGTAAATTGGAAGTGTCCAAATCATGAAGTTGCTCCCTCAATCGTGCAATCTCAGCATCTCTAGCCCCAGTTTGAGACTTCAGTTGCTCCAAGACCCTCTCTTTAGCTTCAACTTCAGCACGCAGCGAGCCCAAACGAGAAGACTCCAGCTTCGCCTTCTCAAACTGCTTCTCCTTAACCGACCTTCTAATGTTGCAGAGAGTTTGGAACTGAGACATGACTATTTCATCAGCAGCTAGAATCTTGTCAGGGTTGTAAGGAATATGAGCTTCCTGAAGCTGAATGTACGCCAATTTCAGGGCCGAAACCGAGTCAAACAGCTTGACAATATCCTTGTCACCACCGCTCAATTTTCCGCTCTTACTCGCAGGAACCACTGCAGGTTGAGCACGAACTCCATCCTTCCCACCAGCACGGCTGGAATCTGTTCCCCCACTGGCATCGCTGCTGCTGTTCTCACCCATCAAAGGGGGATTGCAAATGCCGGCGGGATTTGTTTGGTTATGTGGGTTTTCACCGGAGAACACACCAATGGATCTCAATCTGCAAACTTTGGCAAACTTGGAGACCATCTCCGTTATGTTTGAAGGCGGCTTTAAGGGTTTAGCGGGCGCACACTCCATCCCTTTGCTTGCTCAAAACTCAAAACAAGTATAATAAAACCCCTGGTCGTAGCAGATCTAGGAATGATTTGAACTAAAAATAGGAAAAACTAATGCGATTAAATGAACGGTTCCCAAAATGCCTACCAACAACAGCTAAGAAATTTCACCGGGAATCCTGGCCAATTCCCTGAAACCCTGGCAAATGGGTAGCGTTTGTAGTGCCCTGAAACACCCTTGATTAAAGAAATACTGAACAGCTTCACAGAAATAGAACCCGCCCCAGATAGAAAGTTCCAAACTTTAACCTCCAACCACGAATCAAACTTCACACTGGACTTTCAACAAACACTAACAAGACTTAAAACCCAGAGACAGACAAGAAAAAACCCACCACAAGCTTTTCTAGCAGAACAAGAGAAAGAGGGACGAGCATAGCAAGAAACTTGAGTGAAACCTGAAGCTCGCTTGAGTTGCAGCAGCGGTGGGTCTTGATCAATGTTCTGGTGGAGACGAGATTTTTAGGATCAAGAAAGGCATTGATGGAAGTGCAAAGTTTCCAAAAAAAAGTTTGCTTTACCAGAGAAAAGAGACAAAGACAGGACGGGAGATAGAGAGAGGGAGAGGTGGAGACGCGGGTTGTGGTTTCGTGTGCAGTTGTTGGCGTTCGTGGGCGTGGAAACGTGGGCTTTGGGGATTTTTCTGCTCCCTTTGTTGGTTTCTTTTCTTTCTCTTCCTCCGTGAAATTATTTCTTTCTTTCCTCTGGGGAAGTGGGCGGGGAATCTGTCGAAGTTGCAGAGCTTGCAGAGGGTTTTTGAATTCTCTCTCTTTCCCTCTCTGAATAAAGTAGGGTTTTTAGTCAACCTGGTCACTTATTTATCACATATATACAACTTGGTCTACCAAACTATTTTTCTCCCAAAATGTTACATAACTATTTATCGTCCAACTTGGTCATGTATTCTACAAAACAAGCTATTGGACGCATGTATGTACCATGTAGGATGGAAATTTCGACCTCATCGGTTTTCCTTTTCCCCAATTTGTTTGGCTTGTTTGGGGTGGGGCAGGAATGGGTACTCTCATCGACCTGATTTGTCCTGACCCGCCCCATTCTCAATCCGTTCTTGTCTAAATTACACGTAATCTTAGTCAAATTACTTATGACTTTTATTTTATTACATCATAATTTAGCTATAATAAAATTGTAAATTAGTGATGTTTTACCCGATCTGTTTGACCTGTTTGGGGGCAGGGTGAGAATGGGTACTCTCATCGACCCGACCTGCCCTGACCCGCCCCATTCTCGACCCGTTCTTGCCTAAATTACATGTAATCTTAGTCAAATTACTTATGATTTTTCTTTTATTACATCATAATTTAGCTCTAATAAAGTTATAAACTAGCGTGGGCCCCGGTCAGTTGGCCGGAGGAAGGTGAGGTATGAAATTTGATAATGTAATGGGGTGTATAGCTTATTGTTGTATAGTTTTTTTTGGGAAACACGTGATAAAAATAGTGAATTTTAGCAGGAAAGAGACATGAATGATGCAATGAATCAAAAATCGGCCTTATGAACCAAAATCAAGTACCTATTACCTAGTGAAACAATATTGTTTCTGTTAATATGATGAGGAGGAGTAAGTTTTATAGAAACCGAATTCTAGAAAATTGAATAAAAATCGCCTATCTCGTCGGTTTTCGGGAAATGAGCATCTCACAATCGTTGCTAGCTTTTACTCGGCCCGTTGGCCGATTAATTTGCTTTATAAACCTTTCATCTTGTCGTCATTGTGCTTTCCGGTTTTTGTCAGGCCATGATAAAATATAAGGAAATCAAGAACGAACAACACGATTTGGGATAGGAACCGCCGTTGTCATATCCCTGGAAAATGGTGGTAAACACGGACTCACCTGTCAAACTGGTTTGGATTGAGATTTTTATCGGGTATCAAGGAACCATGTGATTATAAATTAGACTTGATCAAAACGGGCCAAAACTTGAAATTCAGTTTGTTTGACCGACCCATGCCAAATTCTAATTATTCTTTACTTTTAAACTTTCTATTTGAAAATAAAAAATAGTGAAAGAAAAGAGATGACTGCAATTCACCATTTGCACATCACTTATTCGGGAATGAAACCATAGAAATTCAAAAGGAACTGACAATGTTTAGGATCGTTTTAATGTTTAAAATAACCAAATAGATCTTTCTGTTTAGTTTTTTACTAACAAGTACCAAACGATTCCCTATAAAATACACTATAATTTGATCATTATGATATCAAATAATTATCTCATATATATTTGAAATGATGAAAATTGGACTAATTGGGTTGGTCTAGGTTAAACCATTGAATAACTTTTAAATACATTATATTTTAGCCACTAAGATATAAAATAATAGCATGATATATATTATGCCAGAAAAAATAGTTTGTTTTAGAATGGCAAACCAATGATGTTCATTTGTTTTACTTGATGGTCAAATCCCGTGTAGGTCGGGCTCATTCAACTCTTTTATTTTATGGTTAGCGGTTAGCCCATTAGATACCATGCATTAGTTTATTGTTAAATTTTTTATTTTTAATAACAAAAAGGAGTATTGTTTTTTTTTCCTTTTCATATATATTTTATCACCACGGAGAAATAAAAGGGCTTAAAAAAAATTAACACTCTTAGACCCGTTTAAATCCGCATGTGTAATATAAGTTGGCCCGTTCCACAGAAGAAAGAGAAAAAAATTTGCACTCCCTATTCTACATTTTCTTACAAACGCTCATGGAGCAGGGAATTTGAAATGGGGGAAGGTTTTTTCCTCCCTGCTATTGTATGTTTTTAATTTAAAAAGATACAACAAATGTACTTAGTGTGATTGGTTATCATCCTTGCTTTCCTTTAATATAGTAATGGTTTGAATCCCAGTACGTGTCTTTTTAATGAATAAAAAAAAGTAATTGTGAAGACCAAAATGTCATTCCTACTTACACTCTCGTTGCAAAAAATTTGAAATGGGACTCCCTTTTTTCCCTTCGGCGTATTATATATTTATATTATGTGTAGATTAGTGAAAACCTCAATTTCTCTAATAATTTAACTACATTTGTCATAATATTGTTTGTTTTCTTGGTCTTATAATAAAAATAACGAATATTTCTAATATTTTTCATATATATTGCATACCCATTAGGACGACCTGCCCTGACCTGCGGCCCGTGATAAATTACCCCACCTGGACTCGACCTGCCACGAGGCAGGTCTAGGTACCAAGAAACCCGCCCTGGACCTGCCCATTGTCATTCCTAGACGCATGTTAGCTCATTCTTGATCACCCTGCACATTATACATGTATAATATCACAACGAATTAGATCGTATTAACACAAATTTGAACAAATACATCTATAAAATAAATTAGAAACACAGCATAAATCATTCAAACCGTTAACCTCTCTCAGTAGAGAGACCATACATGGAGATTCAGGAGTCGCGCAATATTTTTTTCAGACTCAAACTGATTTCATTGGAATCAAAAACCCGCCTCTAGGGCAATTACATCATCAATTTGGGCAGGATAATAATCTTGCCACATTCTGTCACCAAATTCAGGAGACACGTAATTAACACCATGAATGAAGTGAAGTGAGATTAAAGGTGGATTTGTCATTATCTAACCTGCTAATCTAGGATCCTCTGGCTCTTTGGAATCCAAACAACGCACAACCATGAACCCAATAATTAAATAATAATGCCAAAAGGGTTTCCAAACTGAAAAAGCGACGAGCGCACGGAAATTACCAAAAGTAAACAACCGCACGCGGCTTTCTTTCCCCATTTTTTTTTACTTTATTACCGCACAAATCTTTTATCCAATTTTCACCTTCTTTGCTTTGCTTTCTGCTTACTCACGAGGTTGTTTTCTTTTCCAGCAGCAGTCAGAGAGGAACTGGAAGGATTGTCTGCTTTCAACAGGAGGCGTCGCGGATCTCGAGGGGCCGGAAGATGTGATGGTTTGATCTCTGCCGTCCGAGTCTCATTCGTTTTCCAGTTGTGGGTCGGTGGCCCAAGTCTACGTGGTACGGGTACTAGATATGGGCCCTCGATGGATATACTGGGCTTGGATTTCCAGTCAGAGGATCCAAAATAGATCTCATGTATGTGTGTTGTGTATCTGTCTCGTCGTTTATTCTCTCCAGTCTCCACTCACGTTGAAACATCGCTCGGGGAAGTTGCACTGAGCCACTGATTATTGGCGACAGTATTCTAGATGGGTGGACATCTACTTGAATTTTATCCATACTGATGTTTGTATATGAATAAGGTAGAATATTAAAATTATACTCATACTTCAATTAGATTTAGGATATTCACTATTATCTATAAATAATAATTTCTCTTTATACTTTCAATCAATATATTAATAATTACATGTATATTAAATTTAAATAAGTGAAAAAATATCACAATAAATTATTAGAATGAAAGAAATTAATTAAAAATAATATAATTTCATGAACATATTATATGTGTATAATCCATATTAAATCTGTTGAGAAAAATAACGATCAGTTTTAAACAAAATATATATGCATGTATATGAACGGACGGATTCGGTTGGATAATGAAAAAATCATATACATCAATCACAATATTCACGTTCGCAGTTTACTCATACCTATTAAAAATTCTTTCATATATGAGTTGTATCCAATCGCTTCGAATTATTGTGGGCATTCACGAGTATGGTGATTTTTATCCTTCTTAGTTAGATCTAGGATCTTAGACCAACTTCAATGTAGTGCCAAAATGTCAAAGCAACTCGAATGAGACCAGCTCTGTAATGTCAAATTTTGAGATTATATTTGACATTTTATCTTGGGTTAATATTTTTGTATTGCTAGAACTTTTCACATATTAAACATCATGATCAATCTTTTTGATCTATAACTTTGTGGCATCAACTATGCATTAAAGTTATGAAATTGGTCAAACGCAAGATTTTACTGTTATCTTGGACGGTCAAGATAGTTGATTAACGATCAACCCGCCATGTCATTGTCCGATCATCACTAAAATTATTAAAATATTCAAAATTTACACATATTTTCTATTTTTGAATTATTAGAATTTAATTAAAACAAAGGGTTAATGTTTTCGTATGGCCTGAACTTTGACCAAAATAAACATCCTGGCCAATCTTTTCGATCTATAACATCATGGCCCGAACTATACACCAAAATAAACAATTTGGCCAAATCCGATGTTTGACAGTTAACTTGGACGGTCAAACGCGTTGACTAACGGTCAACGCGCCACGTCACTGCCAAGTCAGAAGATCTAATAAATATTTAATTGTTTTCGTTTTTTTATTTTTGGTTTAACTTAGGTATTAGATGATTTTTTTTTAATTTATAATAATTTAAAATTAGGGAATGTGTGGAAATTGTGAAATATTTTAAATATTTTATGCTGACTTGGCAGTGACATGGCGCGTTGACTAACGGTCAACGCGTTTGACCGTCCAAGTTAACGGTCAAAAGTCGGATCTGGCCAAATTGTTTATTTTGGTGTATAGTTCGGGCCAGGATGTTATAGATCGAAAAGATTGGACAGGATGTTTATTTTGGTCAAAGTTCAGGTCAACGAAAATATTAACCCTAAAACAAAATTTGAAATTTTTTGAAAAACAACTCCCCACCGGTGGCTCCCCTCCGTCTACTCCCCAACCTCTTCTTCGACAGAGAGCTCTCACATAGGGATGGCAACAAAACCCGAACCCACAGGTACCCATCCGACCCAACCCGGTCAACGCGGGTAAAACCCGTGTTGACGGGTTTTGGGCCGGGTTCGGGTTTA